GCTTCCTGCTTCTCAGGTACTTCTGTTTTCTTAGGTGCTTCCAGTTTCTTCGGAACACCTGCTGTGCCAGGTGCTTCCTTCTTCGTAGGTCCTTCCTGTTTCTGAAATGTTACTGGCTCTTTAAGTGCTTCCTGTTTCTTATTTACTTCTCCTTCGTTGTTTTTAGTTTCTGTGGGAGATTCATCCTTCTCCTTCTTCTTCCACATTTTATCCAATAAACATTTCCCTGTCTTGGAGCAGCAAAAGCATACTAACACACACAAATAGATAATTGGAATCAATATGGGGATTCCATACATGCTAATGATCGGCGAGAAAAAGTCTGCTATTCCAGTCGGAAACCCCCACGACATGAGCTGTTGCATAATGGACATAAAGGATGAATACAGGACTGTGAAGACTACTATAAGTATTGACCATGTTTTCCTTCCCATTTTACAACGTATCAATGTCTTCAAACCTCTTCTACAATTATTCCCTGCAGTTATATCCTGCGATGACTTCTTCACGTGGTTTGGCTTCTGTACTTTGACCTTGGATTTAAAATTTCTTCGCATATCATCGAACACCGTGTTCTTCACGGGAATATCCGTTGCACGACCGTCGTAAAAATTACGTGTGCCCCGCGTTCCCACGTCCGTTCCATCACTCAACGATACGGTGGTCGTTCCAACTGTACTTGCATTCGTAGTTCCAACTTCTGTGCCATATTGGCTTGTGCCATTACCCGAGGATGTGCCTAGTGTACTTGCCTAAAATATAGAACAAAAAGGGGGAATATACATGCGATTGTTATGGTATATAGAATGATGTAGAGCGTGAAAAAAAAAATGGGAGGAAGTTGTATAGTTGCTATGAAAGAGTTAAGATCTTATCACAATAAATGTGTGGTAACTGCCCCAAAATACAGTTGTTTGTTTCATACACCGTCAGCAATTTGCCATAGGCAAAGGACTAGAATAGATATAGAGAGTTTCACAAGAAACGTCATTCTGTTTCTTCCTTTGCTCTTTCCGTGTATAAAATGGTAGAAGTGGCGATATATTGTTTATATGTATGAGTTATAGAATTGTTTTCTCTTCCACATCTAGGTGTACAGATTATGCGTGTAATACTTCTTTTCAGCGGTTAATGATGAATACTGGTAAAAACAATGTTGTACGCAACTTAATATTCTTACCTAAATATATAAATATGATTTGAATTAATAGTTCAGGCGCACCCTAATATAAGGGAAG